TATATATATATATATATATATATATATATATATATATATATATATATATATATATATATATACGTATATGAATTCACCGAAGCTGACACAAGTTGGTTCATCTAATAAAATCCGATGATACAATCAGAACAAGTCTTACAGAGCCATTACTGTAACGCCGTGTAGCTCAGCAGGGCAGGCAGGGTAGGGTGAAATACCCTTTGGAAAGGATAAAACCGAAACTTTTAAATTCTAAACTATACGAAGTACTTAGGACTGTGTTTGTATAGCCCGCAACGCTGGTGAGTAAGCGCGGACGGCTAGACCTGACACCCCTTCGGAGTTTCTTACGATAGCCAAGACACGTAAGGAAGGAAGATCAGGACGGGCACTAAACAACAAGGGGATGCATGGAATATAATTTAAATCTCACGACCCGCGAGGGTTTCAGTTGATGAACAAGCGAGAAATAGGAAGTCTGCCGCGTGGGCACAGATTGATTCCATTCGTCTTGATTCTAGAGGCGCACCTGTTCCTACTCTTATCACGGGGTTATATTCTTATTGTTATATCAATACTAAAGGGTGCATACTCGGTTCTCAGGAAGTTCAGGGTTTCTGAGCCTGCCGTGCTAAACCCCCGGACATTACAATTATTCTTTCGGGTCTTTAGCCGTCAGTCGAAATAACACAGTCGGTGGCACAAAAATAAACGTAAACACGTGCAGCTGAAAAGTATTCCGAAAGCCAAAGGTCTCAGCCGTCTACGGCGCAGCCCAAGACCCGTTCTCCAGAGACTCCCGGGGGAGACTCTGTAGTCGGTCTCTCGTCGCAACCGGTTATACTGATCTCAGTATGTCCGGTTGCCTTCGGCCGGCGTTACGTTATAGAGCTTCCGTTTAGGGGCCGTGTCTGTTCCGCTATACCCTTCTGTCACTATTCTGTCTGAGAATATCTAAATGACGTTTTTCAGCTCACACTCGAACTTGAAAATCACGCATCTATTCACCTTAAGTTCCTTAAATCATCGACTACCTTGCAGCCAACAATTGTCCCCAGCTAATGTCTATGATCCACGCTACAGTTGATACCACCACGTCGTCATTGTAGAGCTGTGAGCAAAGAATCTTACTCCCACCGCCGGGTTGCCTGGTGTAAAGCACTTAGGTTAAGGAGGCGTTTCGCATGAGGTTATGCAAGGGTTTAGATATTCACCCAGTCGAAAGTTCGCTTAATGGGGATTGATCAGAATATGCCGCTTGGGTGCGACAAACGACTGGGCGCCTCAACTGACTGAACTAAGCGCACTATGCCACCGCATTCTGGGGAAGACCTCTCACTACAGCTAAAACAACTCATTAAGAATAATTATGCATCTAGAGAGTGTCCAAACATTACTGGCGCCGCGATGCAGGGGCAGTGGCTGAAATTCTTGTGTTCAGGGCGTGTACTTTCATATTCAAAGTACATTTAAAGGGCCCTGCGCTTACCATTTCCATCATCTCTAGGGGAAAGAGAGTAAAGAAGATAATGATTATATCTAAGCAAGGGTGGCATGTTCCCTGAGTGCATCCGGGCTATGGACGGCTTCCGGCCTACGCTAGGATAGGGTTGGTGTCTCCGATATAATAGACTACTTCGGCGCAAATAACATAAGCAACTGCCACTTCCACCGCCTTGGCTGAGAAGGAAGAAACTGGGCTTAAAAACGACGCCGACGTAGATCCTATGGAAACTGGGGCTGTGAATGCCTGTTCTCAACACAAATGGATAAGAAAGGGGAACTGAGAGCAGTCGGAAAATCTGGCATCCAATAAAATGAGGAAGATGCATTGGGCTGCATTTGTGCTTCTGTTGCATCAGGGACGTCTCACAATTTGATGTTACATACAAATGAAAAGAGGAAAGGGACTGGAGAGGCAAAAGTTCGAGAAGCGTCGCCAGGGGCGCACACGACGGTCAGGCAAATGCTCCGCCCCGGCACCCTAGAAACGTGCTAGGCAGTGATGGGACCGAAATAAGGGGTAGCCTCACCTGCAGATCCCCCTCGAGTCAAATCGGTGCTCACTCAAGTTCACTGGTCAAGAGTTGTTTGCATCGATTGATACGAGATGGAAACGGGATAGAATCTCGGGAGCCACCGTCAATGGGTGCAACATAACCGTGAGAAACTCCCCCGTTTGCAGGCCCCATAAGCGGAGTTTCGAGTCCTAGGGATCTCAGGGCCCTCGGCAACTTGCCCCACTCATGTCGGTATGTACATTGATCAGTACCTTCTGCTCTGCGGCGTGTGCACCCAGCGACAGCTGAACGGTGGCGTAACCCACTACAAGTTCAGGCACGGACCCGCGTTCCCTCCAACGACTGAGTGGTAAAGGACTAGGGCTCAGCAGGGCAATCCAGAAATACTGAAAACCCACGAAACCAAAGCAACAACCAATATTTTCGGACAACCTGCTGCAAATTGAGCTCTATGATACGTATTGGGGTGCCTAATCGATAGGATTTAGTTGGATGTAAATATGCGCACCCTTAGATGCAGGCTTGCCAAGAATGAGTTTGTATACTGACAAGCCTAGGGGAACGGGACGGGAACGCAAGGGCAGCCCACAGAAAATCTGCCGGGAGACGCCAAATGTTCCTAAATTGGTGAGAAACAATGTTTTGGGGCTGTAGGGCTGTCGAGCCTAAGTTCTCCCCAGGGACTCCCGGGGGGCAGTCCCCAGATGTAACCTGTTACTGTGGCTGGTTGCCGTCAGCACCGCCCCTAAAGTTAGTGCCCTCTAGTGCTTGCGGATGCTGTGCTGGAATCCCCTCTATTTGTCTAATAGGAATCCCCTTATTGACCTAGATGTAATGGCGAAGCCGACATTTGGCTACCTATCTAAAACTCGTCTCTCTAACGAAGCTAGAAGAGTTGATACACTGTAGCGCCCATCCATGAGAATATTCCCCTCCGGAATGAAGGCATGTGCCACGGGTACGCTCGTAAAAGGGAACCCGGGGTGGGTGCGGTGCGGAGAAATATAGAACTAGGGTGTCATAACATTCATAGGTTGGGGGAAGGGTCGAACGGCATGCAGCCGTGCCGATCCGCTCCTTAATCGTAAACAGAGCGTCGAAACGTTTTTGAAACTTTGAATATGAGTTTTGGGGCGGCAGATGGCCGGTGCTATGGCATACTTCGTCGCCAAGGCGAACACGAAGTGGGTGAGAATCCACATAGTTCTCCCGATCTCATCTGGCTCATTGGCTATGGCATTGGGCATGCTCACAAAGGCGACGGAAAAGTTTGGTTCTGGGTTGAGTGATAGTTGGCGGTTAAGGGATACGTCGCCACGCACGAAGAAGGGCTGGGCGGTTGGTAAGGTTGGCTGCAGGCTTCCAAGTCGCACGATCCTCTGGAGCACCTCGCCACTTGACAAGATATTGAGTATCTGCGCCTGAGCCGCGTTGGTCGAGGATATAGTCGACCTCGTAAATATCGGTGGGACTACCGTCCGGAACCTTTACCGGTAGCCACCCACCAGCTGCTTCCTTGGACTGCATCTGGGGGTAGCGGGGGCGGTCGGGAATGAGCTGCGAGACGTGGAAGACGTTATGACACGTGTACGTCGGCGGAAGCTCGATACAGTAGGCGACCTGGCTGATGCGTTTCAAAGCCGTGAAGGGACCGCGAAACCTAGGCTCGAACTTGGAGCACTGGTTGAGCCCCGGAAGGTTACGGCTGCTTATCCAGACCCGATCACCTGGGTTGTATTGCAGCTCTCGTCGGTGAGCGTCCGCATAGTGTTTCTGCTTCCTCTTCGCCTTAAGGATATGGCTCTTGGCTCGATCACACAGCTGCCGGAATAGTTTGGTCATAGGCGCGGTTAACGTCGGCGCGAGAGTACCGACGACATCGAGGTCTGCTGCTGTGACAGGGTTCTGTCCGATCATGACTTCGAAGGGACTGAGTTCTGTGGAAGAATGACTGGTTGTGTTGTACGCGAGCTCGCTGCCGTAACCGGATTTTC